CCATCTTAATGACGAGGTTTATTAGGAAAATAAGAGAACCCATGGTTAGAGACCACATGAAGAAAGTTACCCGCACTGTAGATTTGCCGTGGAATTCCGTACAGATACAGTGTTCACATCAAAAGCACACACTATGCCCCAGTGTTTGCAAAGGCAAGTCGATTTGGATTGTGCTGGTTGGCCGACTCGGGTATCGCCCGACCATCATCACCAGTTGCTAAAGACATCAGAGGACACCACTGCGGCTCCCATACTGTACTGATCAGAAGCGACGTCGCTCGTAGAAAGCTAGAGGCTACCACGAGTGTCAGCACCAGGCGCTCGTCTCGTGCCGTCCGCATCTGTTTTCGCATATTGGCAGTGCGGATGGACCCTACGTCATCTACACACCGTATCTATCATGAGCGACCTGCAGCGAGCATGGGCCAAGGCCAAGTACAGCATATCTAACGATACATTTGACGAGGTCGACGAGGAGCACGAGAATGATGTACTCCCCGAGTTGCCGGAGCCTGTCGACGATGACTCTTCCTCAGCCTCGTCCGCCTCATCCGTCTCCTCGACAGGAACCATCATACCATCGCCCAACCAGAAGCTGTTCGCTCGACCCCAAGGGTACTTTCCAATCAGCACTTTGATCAAGTGAAACATGGCGGGACTGACAGGCTACAGAGTCGCCCGCGGCAGGACCCTGGAGCAGATCCCCTGGACAACCTATTTTGAGCGCGAATTGTCTCTAAAGTCAGAGCAGGAACCGGAAGTAGTCTATCATGCCTATCTCACTTCACCGGTCGGGAAAGGGCCATTGTTTGTGATGCATCATGGTGCCGGATCATCGGGGTTGTCGTTCGCCGTTGTTGCTTCTGAAATAAAGAAGCGGCTGTCAACAGCAGGTATCCTGGCCATTGACTGTAGAGGTCACGGGTCCACAAGCGCACCTGGCGACAAGGCACTAGATATGAGATTGGACACTCTATCTTCGGATCTGTTCAGCATGGTGCAGCTCACAAAGAATGAGATGGCCTGGCCAGAGATGCCCCCGATAGTGCTCGTGGGACACTCCTTAGGCGGAGCAGTTGTTACTGACCTGGCCAAGTCCGGTAGGCTAGGAACGTCAGTTCTAGGGTACGCTGTGTTGGATGTTGTGGAGGGCTCCGCTATTGATGCTCTACAAAGCATGCACACCTATTTGTCTACGAGACCACTGGGCTTTGCAACTCTGCAAGCAGGTATCGAATGGCACATTAGATCTCGGACGATACGAAACTCCATCTCCGCTCGGACATCTGTTCCTGCGCTACTCGTCTTCAACGAGAACGACGACCCGACAAGGCCGTGGCGATGGCGGACCAACTTGGGCGCAACACAGCCTTACTGGGAAGGTTGGTTTATAGGGCTGAGCAAGAAGTTCTTGGGGGCGAAGGGAGGAAAACTCCTACTGCTCGCTGGTACTGACAGGCTGGACACCGAGTTGACCATCGGTCAAATGCAGGGTTTGTTAACCGTTGGACTAATGCCGCTCTCTGAACATTGCGTACTGATTGACCGATAGGGAAATATGCCTTGCAAGTGTTCCCTGAGGCCGGTCACTTCATTCACGAAGATTTGCCGGAGAAGACAGCCGTTTCGTTGGTCGACTTTTTTCGCAGAAACGACAGGAGTGCTCTCGTGCTTCCTCCTAAGGTTTCGGATCTTCTCAAACAGGGCAAAAGAGTATGAAAAAGACCAAATTGACAAGGCCTAACGTGTTACTCATGACGTTGGCTTCATCAAACAAGGTTTGATGGCGACCCAGCGAGCGGTGCACCGCTCAGGAGCCGGATTATACTTTCAAAGGCACACAGAAAGTGGGTAGGTTAATATGACAGTCATGCAAAGTGCAAATACGCATGCAACCTGCCACTCCAGGTTCCCTCCGAGCATCTTACAGCTCAGCTCGTAAGAGAGGATATGATAGCAGTTCTGATGGCGGTGGCTAGCAAAGGAACTATTGGCGGAGGCGTCTATTGAGCAGAGATAGACTTGCTGTGAATAACCGGGCTGGACCCCAAAGATAGAAGCATGAATTGAGACGCTAAAGGATCAATAGTGAATGGCAACCATTCCCAGAGGATCGAGGCGTTCTTGTGTTCCATAGCCTTGTTATTCATCAGGTACCGGATGATGAATTTCTCCTTTCGGTGTAACTGGTGCCAAGGTTGGCATGCTCTAAAAACGCCTGGACGATCAGAACGAGACTAAGTTCTATTGATATGAAGTGGCTTGTATTGAGACACATTTTCTGAAACCAAGCTACCTTGCTACCCTTGTTGATTGCCAAGATGTCCCATGTTGTGTATGTAGCATACAGTACAACAAGAACGATACATCGTGTTCAAGTTTTGAATCTCATTGAAATTATTGCAGATGTTTGGGTATTGATCATCGTCCCCGCGGGGCCGTTTCACCCGATCATCAGGCGGTTCCATAGCGATAGCGAAGCGTGCAATCTGCCGAAATGGTCTGGAACACGTGGAAATATGGCGATTGGCTGGTGATCTGCATATGAATCATTAGAGTTGGGGGGAATTACGGATACGGCTCAGACATTTTGCCGCTTCTGGGGACCGTGAGCGTTTATTACGAAGGAAAAGGCCCGCTAGCATGGTTACAACTTAGGTCAGGGTGCTCAAGAATACATAATGGGCGTAGCTCCTGTGTAAGCTTGTTGCCTTTGGTGATAGCTGGGTAAAACTGTCTTGTCTCACATAAGGAGTCTTTCTTAAATATACGACGCGCGTACGTGAAACCGCATAACTCTCTCTTCTTGACATTCATTCAGTTTCAGTTTCAATTTCAATTTCATCATCTTTACTGTCCGAGTATTCATCATGAAGCTGTCGGTGTTCACATCCGTCCTCCTGGCTGGCCTTGTTGCCGCTCAGCAAGAGAAGTTACCAACGTGCGCTGTACGTCGCAAAGCCTCCCTCATGAGCTGAATATCCAGACTTGATACGTTACCGCTCGCAATTCGACTACCTATGCTAATCTCTTCTGTCTGCCTATATAGCAACCGTGTGTTAGCAAGTACACCACCGGTGGCGGCGTCGCGGGATGCGGACAGCTCGACGTCAAGTGCATCTGCAGCAACAAGGACTTCCTCTCTGGCATCGCATGTTGTCTTGAGGATAAGTGCGATGCCGCCGGCAAGGAAACCGCCGTCGAGTACGCCAAGCAGATCTGCTCGACCGCCGGAGTGACCGATCTTCCCGACGAGGTTACGTGCGACAAGAACGCCGCCTCTGGCAGCGCTTCTGGTGCCACCACTCCCACGTCCAGTGCTGGTAGCAGCCAGACCACGCCGGCGTCTGGCAGCGCTGGTGGCGATAGCGGCAATGCTGCTGCGCGTGAGGGCGCCGCTGGTGTCTTGGGTGTTGTCATGGCTATGCTGTTTGCCCTGTAAGGGACAATAGTTGTACCATGTAATTCGTTTCAAGTTGTTTCATCACCAAGAGGAGGGATATATAATTCGGAATAAGCAAAGAAGTTGTGATTTTCTGTTCTACGCATGCAAATTTATGGCGTTTGAAGCCATGCACTACTATGTGGTCGCTACAAGACTGACCGCTCTTAGTGGTGATGGTCTGTAAATTTATATCAATTGATATTCTGTCTCAAGACACATTCCATACTCCCCATACTTCCTGGTGCTTGATCCGGAACATCCTTCTTCTGGTTCCATATTAGGCATAACATCTTTGTCGTTCTATAAGTCAATACAAAGCGCTTACACCAGCACCGCAATTGGAGATCAATTGGTTGTTTGATGCACCTCTTGACAGCGAACAGACCAACAGCTCAAGACAGGCAACCAACATGTCAATCTGAACCGGGCTTCTCTGTTGACAACATCCAATGACCGTTAAACACCCCCCGTCCCTACAAGCCTCAAGGACGTTAACTTCCATTGGCATGACCCCACCAAAAACGTACGTTACTGGGCGAGATGGGTAACCAATGCTTCGATACGGCCTGTACAACCGGGCCTACCTAATTGTGTCATTCCATCTGGCCTCAGTACACGAATTGACATACAGGAATTTAGTGATGATGTGACGAGAGATGAGAGAACATGTAAGAGTCGAGGGAGCTTCTAGAATGATATCCCCTTATTGTTGAAGTTCTGACTTGCTTCAGTGCCTTTCTCCGCCCTTCTTCTTTACTCTGACTGGCCATGATGGTAATTATAAGAACTCCAAAGGCTATGTAGAGACGTCAAGTGTAGTTTGAGAGCAGCACGAGTTAAAGATTTGTTACTATATCTTGCCACATGCCCCTCGAGTGTCCTTGCATAGTCTGATTTGGTACAAGGTATAATGGATGTCTGGTGGGATCCTCGGCCAAGGTGATGCTGCAACCCACGGCGTATACGACTCTTACCAATGTCTTGGATCGCGAGATAATATCCCGTGCTTGGCATCCTCAGAAACCTTTTACTCGATAATGAGGGCTGAACCGGCGCGTATGTACATGCATAGCCCTGCATAATTTCTATGCATCATGCTGGCTCCAGCCAGTAATCAGATAAGGTCCACCATCAGCCCATCATCATGGCTGCTCTCCTTAGCGCCCATGGCTGGTTCATGAGGAAGAGCTGGTCAATAAACGGCATGATCGACTACAATTAAATTATGAAAGATAATTTTAGATTCGACTGAAAGAAACCAAGGCACTCAGAGTACCTACCTGGAGTATACATAATTCATATTAAATGCATTTTGTGGCTGGTTGCTCTTAAAATCTCTGTCCTGCAGTATCAAGCGTTAAGAGGTGACAGGCTCATACGCTTCCTGCAATGGGTCGATTTTTGGAGCCAAAATTTTAAAGATTGGCGACGTCAGCCCATTCTTTGCGCTGCGACTTCGCACAACTTTTGTTACCTCGTGTCCTCAATTTATCAACAACAGAAGCCCTCCCACCTCGCACAGCTTCTGGAAATCAAACCAATTGCGCTGTCGATTATGAAGAGAAAAGCGGAAGCAGCTGTTGGATCCTCCAAGGCCAACAAGAAAAAGTCCAAGCCTTGTAAGCACTTCCAATCGTACTTTCGCAACCTTCCACTCACCAGACTTTTCCAGCTTTGACCTCAGAGGAAGCTCAGAAGCGGTTTCGTGCTGGTCTTTTCGACAAGAAGGTCCTCGATTCCTATACAGATCAATATGCCCAGTCAGAACCTTATAAGCATGCCGTCATCAACGGCCTTGTTGACGATTCCCTTCTTCGATCGGTTCGCAGCGAGATCAAGGCCAACGTCGAGTTCACCCCCAAGGAGACCGATATCTACAAGATCCACCAGTCAGGCGACCTGGCCAACCTCGATGGTCTAGACGACGAGTCTCTAGCTAAGCTGCCTTCGCTGCTCAAGCTGCGCGATGCTATATACTCCGAAGCCTTTCGCAACTATGTCTCTCACATCACCAATTGCGGCCCGTTGAGCGGTCGCAAGACTGACATGGCTATCAACATCTATACGCCTGGCTGCTACCTCCTTTGCCATGACGACGTCATTGGTAGCCGGCGCGTCAGTTATATCCTCTACCTCGTTGACCCCGACACGCCCTGGAAGCCCGAATGGGGTGGCGCGCTCCGTCTGTTCCCCGTGCAGGAGCTCAAGGACAAGGACGGCGAGATCGCGAAGACACCGCTTCCTGACGTTACAAAGGTCATTCCGCCTGCGTGGAACCAGCTGAGCTTCTTCGCTGTCCAGCCTGGAGAGAGTTTCCACGACGTCGAGGAGGTCTATCGCGCCGAAACCAAGGAGCAGCTAGAGAGGGACGGTGGTCGCATTCGTATGGCTATCAGTGGATGGTTCCATATTCCCCAGATTGGAGAGGACGGTTACATTAAGGGAGAAGAGGAGAGAAACGCCAAGAACAGCGGCTTGATGCAACTTCAGGGCAATCCTGCTCAGTACGATATGCCTCAGCCTCAGGTTATGAAGGTTGATAAGGCCAGCCAGGATGGTTTCGACGAAGCTGATCTTGAGTTTCTGCTCAAGTACATTTCGCCTGCATATCTGGTTCCTGATGCCTTGGAGGAGATCTCCGAGACCTTCAACGAGATGTTTGAAATCACCTTGCCAGATATTCTGGGCAAGAAGTTTGCCCAGCGCCTAAGAGACTACGTTGAGGCTGAGGAGAAGAAACCCGCACAAGAAGATACTGCTACGATAGAAAAGAAGACTTCATGGCGTGTAGCCAAGCCTCCTCACAAGGCGCGATATCTCTACCAACAGCCCAGCGGACCTGATCAGCTTCGCACCTCACAGGAGGAATCTCCCATCACTGAACTTCTCGACATCTTCCTGCCCAGCCGTCAGTTCCGCCAATGGCTCCAGATGGCCACCAAAACCACCATCGAAAGTGCCGACCTCCTCGCGCGTCGTTTCCGCCGTGGTCTCGACTACACTCTCGCGACTGGCCACGAGGGCAAGGCGCGCGTAGAAATTAACCTCGGATTCACACCTACATCTGGCTGGGGCGAAGATGAGGAAGAGGATCCCGAGGAAGAAGCTGAAGATCAGAACGGCGAGGATGTAAAAAGTAAAGGAAAAGGAAAAGCCACGGCTGTAGAGAAAAAGAAGAAGGAGGAGGAGGAAACACCTGAAGTCGGCGGCCAAGAAATCTTCATGTCCGGTGATGATGATGCCGATGAAGATGCAGCGGTATACAAGACAGGCGATGACGACGACAACATTCTCTTCTTCCAGGCTGCGTCATGGAATAAGATGACTATTGTTATGCGCGACAGCGGCGCTCTTAAGTTCGTCAAATACGTCAGCAAAAGCGCCAAGGGCGACCGATGGGATATCTCTGGTGCCTTTGAGATCGAAGAGGAGGAGGACGATGAAGACGCTGGCGAAGGAGCTGCGCCAGATGATGATGATGATGATGATGACGAGGAGGAGTTCCAAGGCTTTTCACCTGATGCAGCTGAGAGCGACTCTGAATAAGAGCCATATGAAAATAGAAATTGAGACTTGCATTATGTTGCAATAATAGATACCAGGATAAAAAAAAGCACGGCGATGATCGAAAGTCTGTTTGATAATAAAATCTGTTGTAATTGACCTCTTTGATGCAAATTGACACGCTTTCGTGTGATAGTCTCTATGAAACTCCATCGTGGTATCATTATAACCAACTCCCTATATACCGCTGTGATTCCGTAATATGTGCATGATAAATTGAATGTCCAAAAAACCTGACCCAAGCTTGCCTTTACTCTTTCACTCCTCACAACCCAAGAGCGGGTTCGGATTTATGGTTGAAAAGGCCAGCCACTTCTGCCTGCAATAGCTCCGTAACTCCCTGCGCCTCTTGTGTTCTTCCAGATTGGGTCAAGTGGTTGACTGTGTCGTGGCCTAAGAAGGCGAGCCATGATACGGTGCTTAGCCTATCTGGCTTCGACTTCTTAGGCTCAACGGTATTAACCAGCTTTCGCAGTCTTTGCTTGTCTTTGAAGAAGTTCAGAGCAGGAAGGTGATCGGGATGTGTGGGGTGGTAAAGGTGTAAATGAGCACGTTCCAAGAGAAAAGGTTGTGGCAGACGATCGGCCGTGGCAATATGAGCATCAAAGAGTTCTTCGGATGGAGCCGGTCGACTGTAGGACTCGACGGTCGAGAGCCATGAGACTGACCTCCATGACGAGACTAGAAGATCCGATAGTAGCGGGCTGGTCCGGAAAAGTTGCTGTGCTTGCAGCATGGTAGAAATGCCTGAATCAAGGTTGCCATATTGAGGCTGACACTTTGTCTTGACGAGCTCTCCGAGTAAGTTGGATGCTCTCCTGAGACGCTTTTCATTTGGCAGGTCTCCAGAGGTGTCGTTGATCGTCCGCACAAGCCATTCCCAAGCAATCTCCTCCATGCCTTCTGCCACCAGGAATGGAGACAACGCTCTGATAAAAGAATAATTGTCCATAAATCGTAGATCCTGCTCAGCACCGCAAGCTCGTAGCCATCTTATGATACGGCCTGACATACCCGATGTAGCTAGACCCCCAAGGCCTGGCTCATTCGTCTGCAGTTGCTTTGCTTTGGCGACCATCACACCGATGGCGGCTTTGGGTGTCATCAATCCTCGAGCTACAGCATGGTCGAAAACCTCTATAGGATCACGCGATGGTGCAGCTAAAGAAGACGATGCTAGGCTAGAAGGGAACGTCGACCTGACATCTTTGTTGTAGCTGAACAGCGGGTTCGACAGGATATCTTTCAAATGCCGGTTTGTAGCAGATAGTCGGGCAGGATCAACATCTACAGGTTTCGCAGCAGCCGGTGATAGACTGTTAGGGCTCTCTCCATATTCGCGATCGAGCTGTTTTCGAAAGGAAGTCTTGAGACCGTCAAGAAGCTTTTGAGATTGCTGTTTCGACAAGGGTAGGGGTTCGTGATAGGATGCGAACAGATTCTTGAGTGACTGAACCGACTTTGTTGTGAACATGGTGGGCTAGACAGAGTGAATCTGGTAGGTGGTTGTATTGCTGGCAAACCCTACCCTTGAGAATGCCAGAGGGATGTAGGGATGGAACGAGTCGTCGGGAAAGCAGCGTGGAGTAGGGTGGGTATTGATGGGTTTCGGTCATGCGTTCTGAAGTTGAATCTAGCATGATGCCATCGTCGAACGAGCTACGCCACAAAGCGGGCCGCTGAGGCGCATCATGTGATGCAAGGGGTTTCCAGCCTCGGGTGGCTCAATCCAAAACATGGGGAAAGCCACCACTGCTCCTTTGGCTTCCAAGAGGCTGCTATGCCTTTCTCAATTACATTTGCAGATCTATATTAATCTCTGGGTTTGAGCGGTCTGTTACAGTTAGGTAGCTACCCGTGCTCTTTACGTCTGATAGAGGGCGGAATGCATGGTACATAGTGTGAACACAAAACATGAGTATGAATTGAGGATGGATATGCAAAGCAAGGAGTGGAGGGAGCTTGAGTGGACACAGCCTGACTGCGCTAAGCGTGCTTGTGTTGCAAGAGCCCCTGGCTTGAAAATTGGTCTTTGTCTGGTGTATCGAGACTTCGATGATGGTCTAGCTCATTCCTTTTGAGCGCTAGATGCGGCCAGTCGAAAGTACCGGTACGTGATATTGGGAGGGTGCCTGACAGGAGCCTCACAGCTTACGGGTGAGTGCTGATAACCGAATATTCAGGTGCCGCATTCTCAAACCACCATTCACAATGTATTGAGGACATGGCGCTTGATTATCTGACCCGGCGTGTAACCACCAATTGCGTCTCACTGAGACTCGGCACGCCTGAGAAAAGAGCGGTGATGGAAAACGCGCCTCTGGGAACATGTATTGTCGTTATGCTTGACTTTCCGCATGAAGCATCTGATAGGCAAGTCCCTGTCCCTGAAATGCGAATGTGACGTCCTTCTCCAACATTTCAAGTCCAAGTCCGATTATTTGCTACCTGCTCGTGTGGGCTTCTCGCAGGGGCCCGAACACGGCGAGCTCCAAACTCCAAGATCCTTGGCTGAACTTGGGGCTAAGCGACCAAGGGAAGGTCAAGGCCCCGACTCTCGAGGTACCGAGTGACACAAAGACGGCAAAGGACAGCTATGCGTCCAGCAGGTAGATGTACTTGCGGCCATGCCGTTGAGGTACTGACGCCACCTGGCAAACAGTCTCCAATAGTTAGGTCGATCTGCTTCCGGCCAGGGCAAAGTGTCGACGTCGGACGTTTTCAATTGGACGAATTGAATGTTTTAGATCCTTGGACGCTTATGTTAGTGTGTTCAGCGCAGCGTGGGAGCACCTGTTGAGCCACTGTAAGAGGGCTGAGATATAGCGCAGACGTGTCTGTCAAGGGGGTCAAAAGAGGCCTGAAGAAGGGATCTCACGTTGTCACAGTGGTGACCAGCCGCTAGAGGCAAAACCTTCGTAACCTAACCTCCACCTCCTCCACTGCCACTGACTGACGGAGCGGGTGCTGAGTGCCCTGAAAGTGAACGCAAGCCCAAGGCTCCATTTCTTCTGCTCTGCTTCTGGGGAAAACCTCGTCCCGTCTCCTCCTCCTCTCCCTTTGACTAGCACCAACCAAAACACAATAAACTCTTTCCTCTCTCCTCCATCCATCATCGACGCCTTCAACTGTCGACCACGGATTCACGGTCGACTTTGTCCTTCAACCTGCCTGTTGTTCCCGCAGAGGACAGCTGACAGGCCGCTTCCTTTTTTCTTCCATTGATTTCCTCTCCACACTTTGAGTTTGAGCCTCCATAGCTCTCCTCCCGCACAACACGCACGCACACACACACCCAGCCCATAATCAACCACAACCCATCTAATGTCCGAAGTGACTTCACGGACGTCCGCCTCGCGTGGCAGAGGCTCTGGCCGCGGTGGTAGAGGAGGTTTCGCCGGTCGCGGCGGCCGACGAACCAATGGCGACAAGCCCGACCACAGCACCGCTGATTCCCAAGGTGCATTCGAAGATGAAGGAGACTTTGGCGAGCTTCGAAAGCAATATGGCGACAAGACTTCGGTGATTCGCGAGATGTTCCCCGACTGGTCTGAGGCCGATGTCCTCTTTGCTCTCCAGGAAACAAACGGCGACGAGAACGAAGCCGTCACCCGCATTGCTGAGGGTATGTTACGCTCTTTACCCACCTCAACCTCAGTCCACTCCTCGCGCCCACGCTATACACGTACAATCTGTTCGGGATAGCTGCGCATCAACTGCCCACTGCCCTTGTGACCTGATACCGCCTGTTTCTGCTGCTAACACATGCTCTCTTCCAGGAACAATCTCTCAATGGGGCGAAGTCTCAAAGCCCAAGAAGGCTTCCCGAGCTAAGGTTAAGGACCAAGCTCCCGCATCTTCGAACGACGCGACGTCTACTGGACCCCGGGCCACTCGTGGTGGCCGAGCTGTATCTGAGGGAGGTCGTGGCCGAGGCCGAGCTACAGATCGAGGAGGCCGTAGCACACGTGGCCGACCCTCTGCTGCTCCCACTAACGGCGCTGGAACCAAGGACAGCTCAGCCTTGTCTGTTCCCACAGAGGAGTCATCTGCTTGGGGCACTAAGGAACCTAAGAAGGATACCTCAGAGGAGAACCAGCCCATTGCTGAACAACCTGCCCCATCTGCCACAACGGAGGCACCCAAGCCTGCTGCCCCTGCAGTGAAGACTTGGGCAAGCATGCTCCGTCAGTCCGCTCCTCCCAAGGCCCCGCCCAAGCCAAAAGAAGCTCCTGCTGCTCCTCAGCCAGCTGCCGAGCACGCTGAAACTGAAACTGCCCCCGAACCTATCGAACCCGAGGCTGAGGTCGTGCCCGTGCCCGAGCCCGAGTCTGAAAACGTACCTGCCCCCGCCGTCGACGAAGCTGATGAGACTACACCCGTTGTCGATACCGCTACTCCCGCCGAAGTTCCTCACGTTAATGTAGAGCCCGAGGTGGCTCTTCCCCCCTCCAAGGACGAGCTCACCGAATCAAATCTTGAACAGGTTGTTGACGAATCCAAACCGCCTCCGACTGGTACTGTAGCAAGCACCACCGCTGACTCTTGGGACCCTCGACAGAACCCCGCAAGTGTTACTGCTACACCTATCTCTGCTGCTCAGCAGCAGCATGCCGCCCCTCCCAGCGGATTCGCTGCCACCGCTGCTAAAGCTACAGCTGAGCGAAATGTCCGTACTCCCAGCCATCATCACCATCAGCGCCGTGTCCTCGACCAGGAGGAAGCTGTGCGTATGCCTGGCAACCGAGAGGTTGACCGAGCTGCTGTCCAATTCGGAGCCTTCAGCCTGAATGGCGATGAAGATATTGACGGCGACCGAGAGGAGCCCGAGACTAGAGCTCAACCTCCCGCTGACTCGCCTATCACTCATCCTCGGACCTCGCTTCCTCCCGCTACTCAAGCGGCAGTCCCCGATTCATTCGCACAGAAGCCCGCTTCTACTGTTGCTCCTATTGCAGCTCCTACCGGTATGCTATCTATTG